GTTCTAAAGTCTGAGGAGGAACTTCTACTTACTGTCTCCTTCCTCCCAAAACTTTAGCAGGGCTTTCAAAGCAACAGCCTGCCAACGTGTATTCAAAGAAACCTGAGCTGTGATTGCACTAAACCCATCAAAGTTTAACCTGATAATTTATTGTATGTGCATTTGGGAATAACTTGAAGCAGAGTAACATACTCTTAAAGCTGTAAACTTTCTCTGAAATGAATAAGTCCTAGTGCATTTTGTGTCCTTACTGAAGTTCATTTACAGCTTCAATTGAATTTGCACTAGGATGATCAAATATAAGCACATAAAGGCACAGACTTAGTCTTGCTTATAAAAGCTGTTGATACTTTGGTTGTTTCTAGCTGGCAGGGATAAGACAAATATTAATTGGGAGAAAAAAGTTGATGTAAATTGCCTTTTTAAATTATAATGTCTCAATTGTTTTTCTGAGTTTTAGTCATTTTTTATAGAGAAATATTATGCAGGCTATTAAAATATAATATGCCCCTGTTTTCTGATAAGCTGTGTTCTCAAAAATAAACACTGATTCTCTCCAGGTTTCCCCCTAAAAGATGAGTTATTCCCTTTCAAAAATGCTGCTTTAAAATATTTTAAAATTTAAGTTTTTCCAAGAGTATTGCAAGACAAATAAAAATGAAATTGTTTATAGTTTTAGGACGTGTGTAAAATCTAAAATTAAATGTAAATTAATCAAATAGTAAATGTCAAGAAACAAACATTAGTTTTTTGTGCAGGTAACTTTATTTTGGCCTCTGGCTTTGCCGGAGGTTATTTCCATATCTGCTCTTCTGGGCTGCCCCTGAGATAATTGTTACAAAAACTAATACAGAGATTCCCTAAACAGCTCAGCCCATGCCATGCACTCAAAGGGTTGGCCAGGAATTAAGGCTTTGGCTTTGTGGTTTGTTTCTTTTTTAATATGACTCAATGTGAGATGCTTTGTTCGAGGCACTGGATTGATAAACTTTTGCTGCCTCAAATGCCCAGTTCAAACCCCCCAGCAAGTTGTCTCAGTGCCCAGAACTGACCCAGCTGCACCCACTTGGAGCTCTGATCTTCTGGCCCCCCAGGGCACGCCTGGAAGCCGTAAAATCTTGGGTGGAGCTAAATTTTCTGGAGCTTCTGAGCTCCCCTTTTGCACAAAGCCTTGTGCTTGGCAGCCCCGTGTGGAAGTGCAGGTGTCTGTGGCTTTGGAGCTCCGGTCAGAGATTCCACGTGTAGTCCTGGCCTCTGGCTAGTGGCATCTGCAGACCCTGGGGTGTCATCCCTGCTCCTGTGCCAGCCAAGCAGATGCCATCTCCCTGCATTCTCACAGCACGTGGTAAGTAATGTGTCTGTGTGATGAGTGATGAGGCTGAGTCACTGTACATCCTCCCTGTGTGAAACGTGTTTTTAAATCACTAACCTTTCTTTATGTGTTCAAACCTTCAGAGGCTCAATTCTGTAAGGCTTAAAAACTCCCTAAAACTTCTGCCTTTTGGTGCATCAGTTCACCACCCTGAAAGGCAAGTGAAGGTTTTGCCTACAAGTCTTAATACTTGACCAAAACATTAATGTGTGTTTGTTTCTGGGATAATGAAAATAGCAGTGGATCCTTTCGACTCTGGGACTTGAAACACGATTAAGGTTGGTTGTTGGGGGGAAAAGAAAAAAGAACAGAGAAAAGGGGGTAATTTGCTTTGGTCTGGCTTGCTCCTGACATATTTATTCCAAAGCAACACGATTAGCATAGCAGAGCATGTTCCCAGAGTGTGTCAGTGTGCACTTCCACTGAGAAGGGATTTGCTGGCTGGCTGCTTATGGCAGCCAATGCTCTTGTCTGGGTTTTAATTTGTTTGTTTGGATGTTTGATGTGTTGTTATAGGAGTTATAGGATTGAAAAGCTTCCAGAAGTCTTATCCAGCCTCTCAAAATACCACTCACTCCAGAGGAATACATGTTTGTTTTTGGAAAATAGATGTTTTTTTTTTTACTAAAAGGAGTAGTTTTCTTTTAGTTTTGGTGGGGGTGTGGAATCTGGGCATCCAGTTAAAACTTTCAGCTGTTGCTCACTTGGCCAAGCTGACAAAAATTACTTTTGACTTGCTTCAGATAGGGTGGCACTTTGCACTATTGTTTCTGACAAAAATGTGTCTTGAAAAGAATATATTAATTTTTGAAAGCCAGATTGTTTCTTGCAACCAAAATGTCTGCTGTGCTACCAATCCCCTGCGCCTGTAGGAGTGAGGATGCTGCAGGTTTCTTGCAGCATTCCCTCCTTCATTGCACAAATTACATCAAGTACTACTGAAATTGCTAAGGTGTTGCTTTAAATTAATGAAATGCTTTGGGATCTATTCCACCCTGAATTCTTCTTGCTATTAAATATCACTCTCTTCGAGAGAATAAGTTTCCTCTCATTATCAAAAGCAGATCCTGAGGATGAAGGTGGGGGGATAGGAAGAGAATCATGTTTCCTTCACTGTCTGCAGGCAAAACTGCAAATATGTTCAGGTGGAACTGTTTTAGTCCCCAGCTAAGGGGACACACCTGGTTTGTTGTTGTCTTGGAGGCAGCTGCAGCGAGAACTGAGCTTGGGCCTAAGGCTGTGCATGTTCTTTATAATCAGTAAAGTGATAGAAAGGGCTCAGTGAGCTGCTGGAATGGCTTGAAACAAACACATTTAATTACCTATTTTTTGTTTGTTTCTTTGTTTGTTTTTAAGTGATGATAGGAGAGTGAAAGACATCATAAGCTCCAGAAGAATGAGCAGGGAGGTGTAAGGCTGTGCAGCTCTGTCCTGAGCGGACTCTTCTTTTAACATTATAATGTAAATGCCTGATGTAGTTCAGTCCACAGATGCTGTACAAGGCATTTCATACTTGCCACTCGGATCCTGTGATTTTTTGAGGCGTCGGTCTAGCTAAGAATTTCATTATACATCTAATTTGGCTGAGATGCTTGTTTAGTTCAGTCGCTCATCTCCATCCTGCAGGATTCGTGGCCGATGGCTTTGATGACACTAAATCACTCACCTTAGGCCTAGCATTTCTTCACTGATTTTTCTCTAACTAATCCTAAGGTGTTCTTAACAATGTTACATGTACACAAGGATCTTTCTTTTGAGGTTATGGAAATTAAAGTCAATGAAGAGGCAAAGAGTCTGCATCGTGCTATGACCCCTCCTTCTGTGGCGTCCAGAGGACAAGCACAGTCCTTTCACCTTTGTCTCCAGACTCTCCTCATCACTATCTACAGCAGGACATTCAAACACATTTTTGACTCTGAGCTTATGCATTTGCCAAAAGTAAAATGAATAAGGAAATTTTCATGCCAGGCTGAAAAAAACCCAAAAGACATGGAGGTAATTGAAAGAAAATAAGACAATCATTTCATTGTGATAAACAAAGCATTGTTGGGGGCTGTGGAGAAGTCAGTTATTGTGACAAATTGAAATTTTGTGCAGCCTCAGCCTAAGAGATGATATCCACAGCTGGATTTTGGGGTTCAGAGCCAAGCAACCCCCCATCCACAGCATTTAGCATCTGCTGTGCCGGTACCTCTGCGAGGCAGAATGTGTCTGAAAGAGGGAGTGCTGCTCTCTGCATTAAGAGGACTTCTTCAAAATAACAAGAGAGTTTAATCTTAAATACTTGGCTTCTATTTTCATAGTTTATTATATCATGATTGGATTCCTTCTGTGGGCACAATCTTCTTAATAGTAGTATTCAGCTCTGACAAAGGTTGGACTTGAAGAAAGCTAGAACTGAGATGAAAGAATAGAATTTTTATTATTTAGCAGCTGAATGTGTCATTACATCAGAGTTGGTATTGTGTAGCAAATTGCAAGCTGTAGTGAAATTGCTTTAAAAAAATATCTGTATATATTTCTCTAAAACTGTGATAAAGTCATTCAGCAGCACATTGAAATGTGTTTCTAGCTGAACTGTTACATCTTTTTTTTTCCTGTGGTACAAGAACAGATGGCAGTTATTTTTCTTACCAGTCTCCAGCAAAGCTGCTGCAATGCCTTGCCCTGTAAATGCTTTCAAGTGAAAGACAACCACACATGACCAAAATGATTCTGCACTGTAACAATGGCTTGTGGTTTCTAAAGCAAACTTCTAATCAGCCTACAGCATTAGGCTGGTGATAATTACTTAATGTTGTATCAGTCAGGTAGTTCATTATGGCAGGAAAATGAGCAGTTAGTCAGAATCAGCGGCCGCGTTTGGCAGCGAGGTTTTGGAGCAGATGTCTTTTCCATGGGCATTCTTAGTGCAATAACTGAGTATTCCAGAACTTGAGGACCACTGCAGTCACTCCCCTGGGATAAACATGGGTGGGTTTGGAGATGCTCTGTCCCTTTGTAGCACTCCTGGAGGGACTGTGGTTGAGCCAGGAATCTCGGCTGATGGTTCAGCAGCTGATGTGTAGAGGGGAGTCCTGCACGTGCAAAGGGTGGTTTTATACATTTTTATAAGCGTAATATATATTGCAATGTTTTCCAAAGGATTTTGGTTTAAAATCGTTGCTACCTTGCCGGTAATTTGGCAGCCCTGAGGAGCCTGGTGAAAATGTCTCTAAATCCATCCTGGTGTGACGTTATTTGTGACATTATTTGCCCGTGTCGTTCAACAAAACGCTGTGATCTGGAGTGAAATCGTTCGTAGTTATAAATCAAACTGGAACTGCCAAGTATTGTAAACCTAGGGCTGCCTGCCTACCAACTGATGGCTTTTTAGATTGCCTGCTGTAACGTGCCATATTACAGAACCATTGTTAGGAGCTGTATTTAATTTACTTGCTTTAAATTGTGGTTTAGTGGACTTGGCAGCGCTAGGTTAATGGTTGGCCTCGATGATCTTAAAGGTCTTTTCCAGTCAGAATGATTCTAAATGAATACTGTAGTGCCAATTCAGCTTTGCCTCAATTCAGAGGAGCTCTAATTCTTTGTACAAACATATTCAAGAAGTGTGGTGTGTCTTGTCTTGCAGCCTTCGACAAAAGAAAGGCAGCTTGGCCCAGAAGCACTGGACTGGCCCAGCCAACATAGCCAAATGCAAGCCTTGTCCCATGACACATTCCAGCCCTGTCTGTGGATCTGATGGACACACCTACACTACCAAGGTAGGTTCTGCCTGAGATCCCTGTCAGCTGTGTTCAGCCAGGCTGTGGCAGGAAGATGAAACACCTTTCCTTAACAGGCAGTGCTAAATTACAGTCTTCTTTAGTTTTGGCAAAGTTGGTTGTTTGTTGGGGTTTTCTTTTTGTGTAAAAAGTGCTGATAAATACAGATTTTTTTTTTTCCCATATTTGACAAACAGCAAATCAGAATGACAAATCAGACTCTTATGACTTTCATGATTCATGTTTCTCTAAACAGCTCATTCTCCTAATGAAGTGGAACTCTTTTAATATTGATGATGCAATAGGAAAAAAAAAATCATTTGATCAGATGGGCTTGTTCAGTCAAGAGGATTTTGGGATGGTTCTTGTTCTTAAGATTTGGTCTTCAGGGTGGTAAAATATCATTCTTCAGCGATAGATTTATTTTTTTAAATTATTTTTTTTCCAGACTGCATGGTTAACAATTCATTTAGCCCATGGTTTTAAAAGGCTTGTGTGCCAGATGCAGCAGATATGGTGCCATAAAAAAATTCCCATAACCCAGTGGGGATAAATTGGCTCATTGTTATACTGAAAAATATGATCACCTCAGGGCTTGAGTCAATAAAAGAAACTGGCTTCACAGCCATTCAGCATTCCAGATCTCCCATTAGCAAATAAAGCCTTCCATGTCTCAGGTATATGTTCCAAAAACAGCACTTCAGGCACTGGAAGGTGTGTTTAGGGAACACCCTTAAGGTTCTCTTGTCTTTTTGCATGCAAGGGAAGTTTTGACAGTCAGTAAAACTATCCTTTAAAATCCAAATCCAAACTTCACCGGAAAAAAAAAAATCCAGGAAAATTAAGCAACTGGGGGAAAAAATTCCCTGCTGTGATGTAACAGTGATGATGCAGCTCCATTATCTTCCCAGCTGGGCAGCTTGAATCCTTCACCATTAAAGGCCACAAATATTAAAATGCTGCCATGGCTCAGCCATTTAAGCCTCTCTCCTGTTCTGGCTGGAGGATTTGCATGGCCAGAGGAGCAAATCAGCAGAAACTCTCATCTGTGCTCCCACAGACTGCACAAAAATGGCTTCACGTTGCCTGTTAAACAAGTTACTCTTTAATACTCTCCAGGAGTTTGTGTTGCAGTAATTTAACATCTGTTTTTAGGATTAAAATTGGGCTCATTTTGAAAACAGCTTTTTCTGTCTGAGCTCTTGAGAGTATGTAAGATATTCTGTAGTAAATAGATTTCATTGCATATTCTGTCACCCTATTAACTCATTTCTGTGCATTTTACCTGCATCTCACTTAGCTCTGAGTGGGTTTTTTTTTTGGCCTCCTCTTATTTCTCACCATGAAATTCAAATGGTTTTCATCAGAGGTTCTGCCAATGCTACAAATTTGCCAAACTATTGTGACTGTAAGCCTGACAGCTCTCATGAAGACATGAAACAATTCCCATTGCTGGCATGCTTGGCTGTCAAAGATACACCTCCCAGAAGCTGATCTGTGTGGGGTTTTTTTCAAAGGAGATTTTTAAAAGATTTATTCTGAAACAACTTTCTCATCTTCATTTATTGTGTGTTTAACTATCAGTTGTTCTTGTCCTAAGCAAAATTCAGGGCTTTGGGGGTTTACTTCTGAAGACAAATTTTGGTAAATGAGATGAAAATACTTTAGGCAGAGCATTAAAATGAAATAGTAAATGTTATTGTTCTAACAAATGTTTTGTGGTCAGGAGTGATCTTGGGTTTCTGCTATCTTTTAAAAACAGAATATACTGCTTCCCTCGAGCTCAGTGTTAGTTTTCAGCAGACAATGCAATCCCTCTTTCTTGACTTTAAGTGACTAAAATTAAAGCTGTCTTTGGTTTTGTTTTTTTTTCTTTCACGTGCCAGTGCTGTTGGCAAGGATTATTCCTGGCCCTGCAGCGCTGGCATGTCCTGTTGATTCTGAAAACGCAGAAAGGTGGACACATGAGTGTGGGCACTGCTTTGTGTGTGTGTATCCATGTTGATATCTGGCTCTGTGAACGTGCAGTGATATCCTGGGCACAGGAACAGAGTCTTGCTGAGCTTGTAAACAAGAGATGGAGAGCAGCCACTGTGTTTCAGGGGGGAAAAAAACCCACAAACCTTCAGAAATTGTATATTGGCCTCCTGGTCACGTCAGCAGCACACACAGACACGGCAGGGTCTGATCCCTCCTGGCAAAGGGGGGTTTGGCCTTTGCCACGAGCACGGCAGGGGCTCGGGCTGGTGGTTCCTGGCCTGGCAGAGCAGCATCAAAGTGCTTCACTAATGACCTGGGGCTGCCATTCAGCATCAGCAGTGATGTTTGGACCAGGGGATTGCTCCTTCTGTGCTTTGAGCCGTTATCTGAGGGGAAAAACTGGATGAAAAGGAAAGAACACAACGGAAGTGTGACTGGCTGATCAAGGGCAGATGAAACTTGGGTGTCAATAAACGCACAGTAGTTCACATTAAGGAAGTACACACACCCCAGATACACACATCACAGGCTCTCATTTAGCCACTTGATCCCAGAATAACTCTGGATGATTTTCTGAAGACATCTACAGTGTCTTCAGAACTAGAAGTCATCCTAGAGGCAAGAATTTCTTGATAAAATTGGGAAAAGTCAACCAAACCAGAGCACTCAATAATACAAACTTTTCCTAGCGGAAAAAGAAATAATAAAAGGTAAGCTAAACCACTATGTTTAAGTTTCCTGGTTGATGTAGATAAAGGCTGAGGATATTTAACTCAGTCTCTCAATTCCACCAAAGACACTGAAGCCTTAAGCCCCTTGACTAATTTATTGAGGGTTAGTCAAAGCAATCTCCCTCATCTTCTGTTGGAAAATATTCAGTGGTGTTGATTTCCAACACATAGCTAAATGGGGAAATGTTGAACATTCTGAGAAATCCTCACCCAGATCCTGTGCTGCAATGGATTCAAGTGTCACTTAAATATCCCAATAGGAGACACAAGGTACTTTCACGGCTCTTGAGTTGATTTAGCTCCCTGTGTGGGAGTTGTACTGATTGGAAAAAAAAAAATCTTCAAAACTTGCCTTCACTGTTGATCTGGATTATTTCATCTGCTACACACAAATGCTAAGGTGGGAAGGGATGAAGATGTTTGGCTGTACTATGTGCTGGGGTTTTCTTGTTCTTGTCTTGTTTTCCAGAGACAAACATTCTTCTAAGCAATGGGATTCTCTAGTTAAAGCAATAATTCAGTGCTTTTGCATGCCAAAATTTGAACATAGATGTGGCCTACTCAGTCCTTGTACCCTGTTTCCAGCAATTGAAATATGAGCTGTCTTTAGGACTTCATGATTTTGTTGTATTTCTGAAAACTTTATATAAACTGCTGTCCTTTCCTGGGAATTCTGAACTCTATGGGCTTTAGGTTTATCAAAAAATTCATGGAGTCTCCAGTTACTGCTTGAAATGCAGGTGTTTTAAAAAGCAGACTGTCTCTCCCATAATAACTTGGTACAAAGAAATTGCCATTTCTTGGGTGTAACAGCTCTATTTAATACTGTGACAAAACAAAGCACTTCCATAGGTTATTACAGTCAGAGTTTTCAGAGCTCTTTAAAGTACTAATGAATGAAGCTTATGAGGTACGTAAGCCCTGTAAAGAGCTTGATGTAATTAGTTAATGTTTTTGTGAGCAACACATTAAGAAGAATAACTTCGTGGCTGTCAGTTTTACAGAATGTTTAATTAAGCTTGTTAATAAAGCAATTACCTGAACATGACGAGGACTGCACTTAACTAGTCAGAAAATGAAAATTAGGGTGATCTTAAATTACAAAACATACAACCTCAAAGACTAATGCTCCCTTCAAAGATGGAAAGGTACATTGGTATAATTGTTATGTTTCTAATTAGGTACATTGTTGTTCTGCAAAGTTTAATTAAATCGTTGTGCACTAATTAAGTCCATGATCATGTCTCTTTTTGTTTGAAAATAGAAAAATCACCTCCTGTTGTCATAACATTAGGTAACAAATTTGACATTAGGGATGTGCAAGACAGAAAATTTTCCCCCAATCTTGAGACATAAAAACAGTGACCAAAACAATGATACAACATTATTTAAATGTGTGTAATGTGAAGGCTGCTACGTTTAATTAGGAGGGGGTCTGTATTCAGAAGGACAATTAGCAAATACTTGGCCTCTCCTGGTGGAAAACACGATGCTTAGAAAACTTTAGGATCTGTTGTGTCCCCAGCTAGATGAAGAGTTGGATTAAATTCTGTATCGACTTTTAGCTTTGGTTTGGTTTTGTTAAGGGAAAATTAAGGAACTAAGAGAGGAGTGGGGGAAAGGAAAGACGAGAATAGTAAGGCAAGGTAGACACAGTTAAAGAAATCCATGCAAAGGAAAATTTAAGTCATCCTTATTCTGGTGGGAGGTACAAGAATAAAATATTCTTTCCTCTCTCCCTCCTAATTTTCTTCATGTTCTTCTTTTAAATCAGTGAACTTAAATCTTTCAAGTTCAGAGTCTAGGCCTGGCATAGTTTTTTGTGGCTTGAACCTGTACTTGGTAGATCTGGTACATGACTCAGTTCTTCCACTGACCTGTGCTGTGATGGTGGGCAGTTCCTGTTATCCTCATTCCTACTTTGGAAAGATCTGGACTCTCAATAAAATACTGGGAGAGCTACTTTGAGGTCACGGTGACAAAGCCTGTGTAATTTAGGGTTGTGGGAGTGGGATACTGTTGCTTGTGTTATATTAAATGTGTCTGTACACGGCATGACAGCACCATCGCTAAGTTTCCTGGAGTTTTCTGACACAGCTGATCAGGGGGTTTATTAGAATATTCAAATAACTTTTTTTTTGTGGTAATCGATGGATTTCATGGGATGTGACTGTTCTGATGGAGCTTTCTAGAGGAAAAATATTTTACATCATCCTTACTACCTCCTTACTCCAGTAGCAGACGTTCAGTATCCATTCCTATTTCATTATTTGATGCCGTGTGTTGCAG